ATCTGGGTATAGGAACGTCACTTGTTACTAACAAAGGTGTGCAAATCACTAGCGTTTTATCCCTGCATTCATCGCGGACGAGTCTTGGAAACCGATAACGCAAAAGTAACACCACGCGCGGAGCGACTCTCGCCACTGCTCGCCGGCTCGACGTTCGGCGAGCGAGTGAGTGCGCGACGACCTTCGGGCTACACGACGGTACGCAAAAACATCGTACGTCACCGCGCCGAGAAAAACAACAAAAAAACGTTGAGAATTCGTTGTCCCGCCTACGAAATTGAAGTAACTGTTACTATGTTTTGCGTATCATTCCGCGCTCGGTTTTTACGGTGTTTACGGCGCCGTACGCAGGATCATTCACGCGGCGACGGTCGAGTTGATCGGTTACGCCCGTGCCGCTTCGCATATCGTATTAGTCCTTCTTGATACGCGTTCGCGACGAGTGCGGGAAGAAACCGCGATCGCTCTCTGCGAATAATCAGTGATTGACATCATCGTGCGATCGCTGAATTCCCGCGATTTGCCATCGATGCTCGATGGAATCGAACAGTTCGTAGCGGAAATCGGACTCGGTGACAATCGGACAGTGAAAACCGAAGAAGTGGCATTTGGATACAGTGACAGTGACAAGTGACTTTACAAACGGAAGTGTAAATTCGCGAGTAAAGTGGCATTTGGATACAGTGACAAGTGGCGAGTGACTTTACAAACGGAAGTGTGAATTCGCGAGTGAAGTGGCATTTGGATACAGTGCGACAAGTGACGAGTGACTTTACAAACGGCAGTGTAAATTCGCGAGTGTGTCGGAGGACAGCTGACAATGAGACAACGACACTGGAGAGGAGGACACCCGAATGGAGGAGGAGGCATCGGGCGAATCAACGTAGATACAACTCCGCCGCTGCGCATCGTGTCGGTGAGTTTTTTGCATTGTAAATAAAATTATAAGAAAAATGAAATAGATAATAAAATTGTAAAAAATCACATTGTAAAGAAAAGAGGTGGAGGGCCTCTATAGACTGACTCAATAAATCACTTAACAAGGGCATATCCTGTTTCCTCTTCCTCTTCTATCGATAAAAGTGCCGCTAAAATAGAACGATCGAACGAGCCCGCCGAAGGCGGGCGAAGTTCGATCGAGATTATATTTACCGTCTCGTTCGAAGATGATAAAGAATACCAATGTAGTACTGCTTGTCAGTGCTTAATTCCACAACATATTTAGAGTGCAAGTCATTCAAATTTTTTGGCGCCCTTCCGCCTATCTCTTCCTGTTGCCGCTTGAGCTCTACCTTCATATTGTTTTGGTATGCCCCATTTATGTAACATAATAAAAATGTCGTAGACATTTCCTATATAATAAAGATTGAGTTATTGTCGACAACGTTTTATTGATGATCCTGGGTATACAATTTTTGGGTAGCTCTGAAGGGAGGGACTTTGATCATCTTCGAACGAGACGGTAAATATAATCTCGATCGAACTTCGCCCGCCTTCGGCGGGCTCGTTCGATCGTTCTATTATATTAACCGTCTCGTTCTCGATGATAAAGAATACCAATGTAGATTTTTAGCGTATACAAGAACTCAAATCTTTATTTATTATTTATCTTTTTTATAATATAACTGCTCGCGCAAAGTGATCATTGGATGGTTGTATCGGTCTATTATAAAATCTCATAAAGGTTTGAGATTGTGCCGACCAACCGGCTGTACGTCTAATTGTTGCAATATCAACGCCCTTATTGAAAGCAGCCGACACCGCTGCATGTCTAGTGCTGTATGCAGAAAATTCCTTTGTGTCAATTCCTGCTTTTGTTAGTAAGGATTTTATCCAATGTCCTATTGTTTGTGGACTAGCTGGACCATGTGGTTTAATTGTTGAAATTAATAAACGTTTATTGCTTTTGTCTCTTAAGTTTTTTGTGATTTCTAAATATTCCAGGATGCAGGTTGCTACACACAGATTGGGTTTTGTTTTAAAGAAAGGTAAGTATAAATCGGGTTGGAAGGATCCTGGTCTAGATGTTTTAATCAAGTCCGGTATCTTTATTGTAATCCCAGCCTTCGATCTTGAAATGTTCTCAATATCGATTAGTGCTAGGGTTTGTAGTCTATGAGCCGTTGATAATGCTAACAATGTTGTTAGTTTTTCTGCTGCCTCTTTAATTTTTAACTGAGACATCGGAGGCAGGTCTTTAATGTAATTTAGCACCAGAGATGTATCCCAAGTACTGGAATATTTTGGTTTTGTCGGTTTTAACTTAAAAACCCCTTTTAGGAAACGCGCTATAAGACCATCTTGAGATATATCTCTTAAAGAAACAAGGGAAATCGCTGATCTACTTGTATTTAAGACGCTATATCTTGCGCCATCATTGAATCTTTTTGATAAGAAGCTTAGAATGTCCGCAGTTGAGGCGTTATAAACATCCAGACCTCTGTTATGAGCAAAGTCCCACCACATCTTCAAGGCACTTTGGTATTGATTCAATGTAGAGTTAGTGATTGAAGTAATCATGGTACCCATGGAGTCCTCTCTTACGCCTTTCTTAGACAATGCCGATATGATAATTTTCCTGCCGCCAGGGAAAGGTGGGATATCATATGATGTGTTTTTTCTCTGTAAGGTGATATCAAAAGATGTTTACTTGGTTTAAAAACTAGTAATTTTGAAATAAGAAGTGACTTATATAGAGGATACCATGGTTGTGATGGCCACAAAGGTACCACAACCACCCCTTCTGCTTGATCAAGGATAATTTTTCGTAAAGTACGTAAGATGAGCGCAAAGGGGGGGAACGCGTAAAATTTTTTGTTCTTCCAGGAGACTGTGAAAGCATCTACTGATGATGCGTCTGGATCCGGAAATCTGGAGTAAAACATTTTGCATTTTTTATTTATTCTAGTAGCGAATAGGTCCACCGAGGGCATTCCAAAGTTTTTAACGATTTGATTAAAATATCTATCAGATAACTCCCATTCCGTATCCAGATTTGTGATTCTAGACGCTGTATCCGCTTCGACGTTCTCCTTGGAGGCAATATAAGAGGCTCTAATCCATAGTTTTTTGTTTTCACACCATTGCCAGATTTTTCTCGCGAGCTCGCTTAGATGCGGAAACTGAACTCCACCCGCTCTGTTTACGTAACAGATGGCTGTAGAATTGTCTAACCTTAACAGAATTTCTCTATTAGAAAGTTCTGATGCGAAACACTTAAGTGAGAAAAATGCTGCCAATAGTTCCAGAAAATTAATGTGATGTTTTCTTTCTTCCTCGTTCCATGTACCGTGAGTGCTCATATCATTACAAAAACAGCCCCAACCCGTTCTAGATGCATCTGAGAAAATTTCTAGAGCGTAATTTTGTGTTCTAATAGGGTTGGAACTCGTTATAATATTGGTCTTCCACCACTGAAGGTCATCAAACATTGGTTTATTGATACGAATTTTTCCCTCAAAGTTGTAACCATTAAATTTCAAGGTTAGAAATTTTTCTCTCTCTAATCTTTTACAGTATATGAATCCGTATGTTACTGCAGGGCAGGCCGCGTTCAGGGTTCCCAGTAATTTTGCAAATTCGCGAACTTTGTACCAATTGTTTACTTGAAATTTTTCCAGTAAGGATACAATTTTTTGTTTCTTCTCGTTATCTAATTCCAGACAATAATCCACTGAATTAATTATGAATCCCAAGTATTTACATCTTTGACTAGGTGTTAAGGAGCTTTTCTTATAATTTATGATAAATCCTAGTTGTTTTAGCAGATTAATTGTTTTCTCAATATTTTTACTACATTTTTCTATTGATTTTTCTATGATCAAAATATCATCAAGGTAAATACTGCATGTAACACCTTCGCTCCTTAAACGCTTAATAACGGGTTTCATAATTTTTGTGAAAATGTATGGACTTGTACATAATCCGAAGGGTAAACAATTAAATTGATATAGTTTCTTTTCGAAACGAAATCTTAGAAATCTTCTATCGCTTTCTTTAACCGGAATTAGGTAATATGCATCTTTCAAGTCTAGGGTACACATAAAATCGTTTTTTCTAACTAAGTCTCTAACTGATCTGATGTCTTCCATCTTAAAATGTATCGGGTCTATAAACTTGTTCAGTTCTTTTAGATTGATAATGAATCTATTCGAGCCATCCGGTTTTGGAACGAGGAAAAAAGGGGAAATAAATTGGTCATTCAATTCTGCGCATACTTCTATCACATTTTTAGCTAATAACTGCGCTATTGCAGTCCTGTAATGTGAAGTTTGTTCTGATGACCAGGATGGTTCCTTCAAGATGATCGGTTGTATGGGATGTTCCCTAAACTGAATTGAGTATCCTCTTATACAGTTTAGGATGAATTTATCATCCGTAATTTCCTTCCAAGCCTTAATAAAAAATTTAACCTGTCCCGCAGTAGCTCTTACTTTAATTATTTCTTCGTTGAGGTTCTCGTTTGGTTCCCTGGGTTTTGGGTCTGAACTTGAACATTGGTCGTTTGTAATAGTTCCCCACCTGCCTCCAGTTCGCAGGTGGGGTTCTCCAGTTTCCCTGCCTACGAGGGGTTAATTGAGACTTCTGGGTTTTTTCTAGGTGTTTAAGGCCGCCTACTGCTTTCTCAATAGTTTTGGCTTCTTTAACTAAATCCCTGAATTTTTCTGAATACAGCCATTCATCTGAGACTGTTGTGTCCAGTGTTGGTTTGAGCGACTTGTTTAGCAAGGGAGTGATAAATGATTTTCTTGCAATTGAGTGTTCGTGGAAAATCTCTGTCAGAAGTTGACCTGCATGGCATAAAAGATCGGAGAATTTTTCCTGATCTATACCCTCTTCTGGTGTCTCCAATATCATTGAAATTGCTGCGCCCAAGGCCGAAATTGCCGTTCCTACACAGTTTTGCGTGTTTACAAAATGTTCATCTCTCTTTTTGGCGATGTCTGTCAGAGCTGGGATGATATCTGTATTTAATTTCGGTGCTTCCGTATAAAATTCTTCCTTCCGTGAGTACAATTCTAAGATTTGTTTTTTCTTCGCTTCCGGAAGGCCGTCTTTCATCCATTTTGTCCAAGTATTTCTTAATTCCTCATGAAAGTTAAGTTTTAGTTGTTTAGAATCATTAGGATCTATTCCTAATAGTTTTTTAATTTCCTCTCTGTTAGTGTCCTCATTGGACTGTTCTTCAGTTGTAATCGGAGAACTGTTCGGGGACTGATCTGGTTTCCCAGTCGTATCCTGTACTGAAATCTCTGAAATTTAATAATAACAAGGAATTCAACAACTTATGTAAAGGTAATAGACCGTTCAGCACTTGTGTAGTTTTGTAAATTCTTATTGAATGTAATCATGATAATATTGTTAATACTATTATTCTTATTATTATTACTTAATCTGAGCAGCACTTATTGTGCAGTTTCGTAATAACCGTTCTTATTGAACTTATTTACGAAACGCTCACTATCAAAAACGTGTGGTTTTTGATAACTCAACGTTCGTATGGAACAGGAGAGTACTGATGTTTTTAATGTGAGAGGTACACTTGTTGTGTAGTTTTGTGAAACCAGGTTCTTATTGAACTTGTACACAAATTCTCACTATTAACCGACTTGTGGTTGTTTACCTACCATCGGATTTATCTATTCCCGAGTGGGACAAGATATCCGCTTGACTTGTTGTCGGGAGGGATATCTTTCCTGAGTTTTCTATGAACTGCTTAACCGTATTTGTTAGGTTAGTTATCTGGTTCTGCATCTCTTGGATCTGTTTTTCCGTCCTACGCTCTTTTTTATGTCTATCTCGAGACAGCGATCTTGATCGCTTCCTTTTCTTTGAGTTAGCCATAATCCTTGAGATTTTAATTGATGTTTTTCCTTCTTGCACTGCTGAAGACGTCGTGAAATCTTCGCACAACAAAACAATATGAAGGTAGAGCTCAAGCGGCAACAGGAAGAGATAGGCGGAAGGGCGCCAAAAAATTTGAATGACTTGCACTCTAAATATGTTGTGGAATTAAGCACTGACAAGCAGTACTACATTGGTATTCTTTATCATCGAGAACGAGACGGTTAATATAATTGGTTTGGAAAGGATTCTTATTAACCGAGAAGCAGTTTCACAAACATCGAGTTAACTGCTGACCGAAGGATAATTGATTCTCCGTTTCTTTTCTAGACAACAAAGTGGAAAAAGATAGGGAATTAACTCTGGTTAACAGTTAACCGACGTTTATGAAATTGGCCCTGTACGGGAATTCTCTAACTTGCTATCGAGGTTTTTCGATAACGTTAACTAGGAGCAACCAATGAAAATCTGCGTCTCTTTCGAAGATCGTCCTCGCCATTGGCTGTCGCCAGTTAACGATACCGAAAAGCGCCGATCGCAAGTTACAGAATTCCCGTACTGAAAGGATCTTTTGCACGGCAACACGGGCACTGTTGTCGACAAAAGAGGATTCGGAAATACGGGCCAAGGTGTTTCCTAGGTGTCGTTGAAAGAAATATGGTAAAGTCGAGCGAGAACGAGTCCAAAGAGCATGATTAACGGCGACCGACCGTACTCGTGGGAGTCGCGGGCCGCCGCTGGCCGCCGCTGTGCGCATGAGCCGGAGTACGGTGAGAACTGAGGAGCGAGCGATCAGTGAAAGCACTCGCAGCCTACTTCGCGGCTAGTCGACGGCAAGGCATCATGGCGATTGGTTAGGGCGCGCATCGCTCGGAAAATTCGTCGTGGTATCCGTGTTACAATCTCGCGTATCGCGAATTAATCGCGTCGCAGCTCCCGTCAGATGACCGCGTATCGATCTCCCATTGCGCAGTAACGTCCGTACGCGAATGACACGATGGTGAAGTTGACGGAAGAGATGGTCGTGGCTCGCACGCGAGTGTCGGACTTTTCTGCGGTGAAGAAGCTCAATTGCTGGTGAGTGTTTGCATCGGCCTTACGCGACAGGTCTCCTTCGGCGGCGCGGCGAATTAATTCGCGGCGACTCGACTGCTCGCGGAGCGATCGAACGTAGCGTCTCGACGTAGCCGCGCGTACGACACGCGCGAACAAGGTTATCAAATTTTTCTGCCACGGGAAAAAAAGGGAATTATGATCACCCGAGCGTGACTAACTGCTATCCGCGTAGACACTGGCATGCGAAAGAATACGTGGAAAAGTACTCGTCGAGTAGCACTTTACATGCAGACGTACGCCGAGTAATGTCAAAGTGCACAGCCAATTTTTGAGGAATTTTTATAAACGCTGCTTCAACGACGAGCGTTTACAATTGAAAGGATTGTTTATTCTTTTGTCCTTGGAGCGAGACGCTCTTGTAAAGTTTGCCCGTCTAGTTTGGAATCGCTTGAGATGATAAGTTAAACTGTAACAATACTTTTCTCCTTGTATTCAATTGAATTAACATATTTTTTACACAGGGGAACAGAATTAACAGATGTTAGCATCCTGAGAAAGATGAAAAACGTGGAAGTGTTGTCACTGAGGTGAGTTGAGGCTTGTTGAAGTGGTTGGACAATTACTGAAACCAGAAGAATGTTAAGATCCTTGAAATGTTATTTATTGCGGTGTAGCAATTTGGAGTAAATCCAAAAAAGGGGGAGCCGCAGTGCTCATTAGCGAGCAGTTTATTGCGCAAAAATATGTTAACTCTTTCTATTGACGATCGTGATCTAAGATATTTTTCATCTTACGAAAACGTAGAAGCTGCAACGTGTTCCTACTTTGGGCATGATTGTATTAAACTCATGGTCACAGCCCACAACCTCAGAAGTTGTTCTGCCCACACACGCTTTGAATTCATTGTGATTTGCCTGAGTAATATTGAAAAATATGAAGATCAGTATCTGGAATATTTGAAATCCAGTCTGACGGGATTGAAGATTCTTATTTTTATTTTTATATAATATTAATTATAGAACAGGATATAAAGTTGATCCTTTCTTTTCGGAATAAAGGAGAGAAGTGGCAATAAATATAATCCTAATGAATCAGTTTCCTTTTCTCTCTTTTATTCGAAACAACAATAATAATAGCGTTTACATTTATTTCTAGCATAAATAACATTAATACACTTGCTGACTTTCAATACTGCCACAAGCTCCAGGATTTATTTATAAGACGAAATAATATCAAAGATTTAAATGAAGTCTGCTATCTTCAAGAATTGCCTAATTTACGAAACTTGTGGCTCGGTGAAAATCCATGTGCAGAGAAGGATGGGTAAATACTTAAGTAGATCTCGTCAAACAAAAGAAGTTACGAGAATTTTATCAACTCACTGCTTTGATAGATATCGATCAGCTGTACTTCGGGCTTTACCAAATCTCGAGAAATTAGATGATAAGATAGTGACACCCGAAGAAGTGCAAACTGCGATGGCAGTAGGCCGACCTTTAATACATCCTCTTGAAGTAGATGCTTCTCCGCAATCAGATGTAGTAAGCCCTGAGGTGAGAATATATTTTCAATAATATGCAATAATAGCGAAAAAAGTTAATGCAATACTAAAAGACTTATATGCAATTAATATTCACATTATTTCATCAATAATTTTCTATACTTTTTTTTATATGCCTTACATCTTAAAATTAATAATTGTTCGTTTGATTGTTATTAAAACTTACATGTATTAATTTCAAATTATATATATATTTTTTTTAATGCATTTTTAACAATCATTGAAATGCTAAATGACATTTATACTAAATTAGGATATTGCAATTGAGTACATTGAAGAAACTGAATTGGGACGATCTAGGCGATACAGTTCTTCTAGCGACCAGGTAATAACGCAAATTAATGCATTCTTTAATGTCCGTTACCAATCACTAAAATAGATTAATTGGCAGCTTATGAGATGTAGTATAATTATTGAAACGTGGCAATATACATGCGTGTACATGCAGAACATTTTTCAGAGGAGCTTTGATGAGATGCAGCACACACATGAAGAATATGACCCTGACAGAAGAAACGCAAATTATAATGCGTCATCGTCACAACATTACTCACAAAATAATCAATATGCATATGAGGTCAGTCATGCATATCATCGATTTATAGGAGTACAAATATCTTTTAATAATCATTTCTAAAAGTAAATAACTTTGTTAACAAAATGTAGCTAATGTGCTGGGAAATTTTCTTAATGCGTTGTAATACCATTTTTAATACAATACTTTCATATTAAAGTAAAAGTAATTAATCCATTAATTTGATATTACTGATCATATCGCAACTAGTTGAATTTAAAAAGATCTCAAATATAACTATAACTTAAAGCCTGTCTTATCGCCTGATTATACTAACAGCTACAAAATGGACAGTCAAAGAATCAGAGCAAAGATGACACTGTGTGTTCAGAATTACGCAGCAACAATGAGACTGTGGCCACTAACACTCTTGAAATATCCAAGGTACATTTAAGTACAGCACATTTTTAAGCGTATTTGCGATTCTCGTTATTCATATTATCCATAATAAAATAGGCAGTTAAATATATTTTATATATCAGCAATACTGTCATGTATTACTATGTTAGCGATTACGATTGGATAAATACTCGAATTTAACTCGAATGTTTTCTGGCTACATTGTATAACTGAGCTTAGGAGACATTTAATGCTAAGTAATTTTTTTCAATCGCTTTAGCACGTCACCTAACATATTGATCAATATAAAATTTGAAATTAATAAGATCTAATAATAGTCTAATTTATGAAGCGAAAAATGTACACATTCGTTTTGACTGATAGCCGATAGTTCGGAAATCACAAGTTTGTTATTTACAGAATAATTTGTTTTAATTATGATAAATATAAATAATTCTATCAAATGAGATAAATATGAACATGTTAAACATAAAAATTAAAAAAATCTAATATCTAAACTGATTATGTTTTATATTATCTTGTTAAATTCAGAATAAATAAAAGACATTAGTTTTTACCTATTAACGTCTTTATGTCAATAATATGAGATGGAAAGTCTACGGCTAAAATGTAAAATAATTTGTTTTAAATTTACGTAGCACATATTGCCTGCTGTCTTATAGAAAATGATATTTTAGGATTACGATGAACGTCCAGTAGTACAACGACATAATGGAGATTACGATGAAAGGCGAGCTTATTCCGAGTATGGAAACGAAGTATCTCAACGCATGTATACACCAACATCGCAACGTACGCAGTATGCTGCCAACGACTTTGCAGATGACAAGCGTAATGACAGAAATAACTATAGCTATGATGAAAGAACAAGATTAGAATATGAGGATTTGCCACAACCTCCTTCAACACCTCAAGCAAGAAGGGTGGCAACGCATCCCAACGAAAGGGTTAGATTCAAATAAGTGTGTTGCTTTCATAAAATATTTAGCCCGATGCAGGCTATAATATTTAGCTGGCCAGACGTTGTAACACAAAGCAATGTATATAAAAAGTTTTAATAAAATTACCATGTTTCGATACAGGAAGACCCAAATCAACCCGGTGTCCCCGGTTGGGTGAGACATTCCGATAAAGACAAATGCAGGAATCAATTTCGCTATCACAGGCGGCCAGTAACAAGGGTACGTTTTACAGCTCTTGTTTTTTTTCTAAATAATTAATGATAAAATTTGAAATGTACTTTTAATATATACTTTTAGAATTCGAATATATTATCTGCTGTTCTGTGCTTGGTTAAGGAGTTGGATTATCCAAGTTTGGAAGTGGTAGAAATGGCTGTTAGAAATCGAATGGACGAACTAGAAGAATGATGTTTCTGACACCGTCCCCAAAATCCACAGGGGACGGTCGCTCTCTCCCATATCGGCAGCATGTCTTCTGTTCCCAGCCCGGAATTCTCCGATTCGCTTGATTCGTCTACCATAACTTTGAGCCAATGCGCTGATAACGATGGGAATTGCAATAATGACGAACATCGCATACTTGACCATCAGTTACTCGAAGAAAATAACGATAAGAGTCAAATTCAACGAAGTAAATGTGCCGAAAAAGTTTGCTCAACACACAGCCCGAAAACAGTATCGATCGACCCGAGCCCGAGATTGCTCGGAAATAATCAGTCCGTATACAAAATCAAAGATTCCACTTTAAACAATTCGCCATCGAGAAATTGCCAAGAGAGAAAAAGCAATGATGTAAGACGCGTAGCGAGCAGTGACAGTATTCCTCGTGGTAATTTTAATAATGTCATTTTGAGCCAGGGATGTAGAGTTTTAAGCCAAGATTGCGTAAGAAGATCAAAAAGCTCTGATGTTAGAAGTACGCCACTTCGTTATATTCAATCGGCAAAAGGAACGTGGACATATAATTTGTAAGTTACACCACAAAAATTGGATAAAATCTTTCTTAAAATAATAACCTAAATCTCTTGTAAGTGCAATTGGATATCTTTTCGGTAAAAAGAAAAAAAATGAAATTCAGTAAGGGATAGAAAACCTTAATATTGAAGATTGGTCTTATCATGTTATTTTGTAGGAAAAGTCTATAAATACATATAAAATTTACAAATTATTGTGATATTTCTGCAAGGACTGAAGAAACAAATGTAATTATCTTCATGTATTATGTGTACAATTAATAACACATGTTACAATCGTCATGTTAAGAAGAAATGTTCTGTTAAAATCAAAACTGATGAAATTTAATTTCAACAAATTTGAGTTTTAATATATGAGTAATTTTATTTAACAACTGTTACGTTTTTCTAAAATTTTATTGAAATAAATTTGTTAAATATATATCATAAATATCTCTATGTATAAAATAAAATCGAAGATAAATTATATGTGCTATTAAATATTTTCTCAGTAAAAAAATATTTGGAGTTTTTATCTAGGAAAAGAAAATTATTTGGATCAATGGTAGTTTCAAATTCAACGTTTAAAACAATTTTTACGATACAATACAATAGGAATTAAAAAATGAATGTGTATATATATATATATGTAGAGGATCATTTTGTACACAGTATTCTACAATATCTAAAAACACTTTTAAATGTACATTATTTACATGTAATCTGATAATTTATAATCAAAATATCATCTGCGTATTATCTGTGCTTAAAAGTGTACATACATAAGCAAAAACTTAAATTCCTAGGTTACCATTTTCTTGTTGCATTACTATTTTCCTCAATTTTATTATTTAATTACGGAGCTGTACATTAATTTTTTCAACAATCTTACAAAGAAATGGGATAATTATGTTTTATAGGATCACATATGGTATAAAATTGTACTTAAAAACAATAGCATAACAAGCGAAATAACTGTAAGAATGTATATTATACAATAGATTAACTTTAGGTTGACGAACAAGTGCATATGGACTTATTTTTTGAGATAAACCCTTATATTATCTGCTAATAAATAAGAAAAGCAGGAAGAAAACAAGATATTACATTTTTTCTGCGGGCCGTTCCATCAATTAACTAATAATAATTAGATTTAAGACATTTTATAACAATGTAAAACAATGACTTTTGTTATCTAGGACCGTCCATTTATTTTATAGCTTGTAAACGATATTACTTTAATATATATGTATATACATGTAGATTTTATATATTATTTACACATTTATGTAAAAAAATTTAACTTCTGATTATGAACAGTGTTGAAACGTTGTAAACTTGTGTTATTGCATTTATATAAATCAACTTCAATACCCCTTCAAAATCGATATTTTCCACACATTAATCATCTTGAAACACATAAAAAATTATATTGATAGTATTGATATCTAATATAGGGAAATATATATATATATATACAGGGTGTCCTAAAACCACCGGAGGTCCTCTTAATGACAGATTCCTTAGAACATTTCCAGACGAAAATCCTAATACAAAAGTGTCGAGGCTATAATAGTTTTTAAATTAGAAGCGATTATTTTCCACAAATGATAGTGCTGAAATTTCTCG